CTCTTTTGTTGACACGTGTTTTCAACCGTCTTACTAGCCGCGTAACCCAACCGACAAAACTATTGTTTTCTCACTCGATCTCCGCAGCAGCCGACCTCCACAGCAGCCGACTTGCTCATCCAACTGCGGACCGTCCTACCTGCTTATCTGACTACGGATTATCCGACTGTGGACCGTCCGACCTGCCCATCCGCCGACAGATTCTCCGACCTGCCTATCCGACCACGGACCTTCCGACCTGCTTATCCGACCGTGGACCTTCCGACCTGCTTATCCGACAGTGGACCTTCTGACCCGCTTATCCGACTGCGGACCAATCGACCTGCCTGTCCGACCGTGGACTTTCCGACCTCCTTATCCGACCACAGACCTTCCGACCTGCTTATCCGACTGCGGACCAACCGACCTGCCTGTCCGACCGCGGACCTTCCGATTTGCTTATCCGACCGCGGACCTTCCCACCCGCTCCGCTCGGAAGGACAGCCGGTCTAACCAATCACCCCGAAAATCCTTTAACCGCCAAACGTACTCGATTACAGGCCCAAATTTCCCTATATCTTGGGCCTTTAACCTAATTATAAAATTCGTATGTAACAACTTGCCCGCCGCCATCAGACTTTCAAACGCCACTCCTCAATCGTCGTTTGGAAGTTCGCAATCCATAATCTTCCCTACCGTGTCTACTTTCCCCTGTTTCGCTACAATTTCAAGTTATTGCGAATGAATATGTACCTGCACTTCCTTTTGACGGAACCACCCCAGAAGTATCATTTGCGGCTTCGAAAATGCTGACTCCGACTATTCGCCCATACTGCATGACTCCTGAAGACTCCAATCGGATGAGGGAGGTATTGAAAGCAGGAAACCCCCTCGCCATCAACAATCCCGATTACAATGCTCTCCACCTCCAAGACAACATCAAAATGCATCTGACGGACCCCAAAGACCCCTACCGTGTCTGGTATAATAGGGTGGCAGAGCGTTTTCAAAACCAATGGAAAAGCCAACATATTGACCAAGCGATATTCCTTTCGGCGCTCCCATTTCACTTGCACAAAAAAGCACTCTTGGCGATGGCGGCTTTCTGGCATTCGGAAATGGGTATCTTCTTCCTGCCGATAGGCCCTGTTGGCCCAACTCTCATGGACGTGGCCACGATCGCTCATCTTCCTATTGTGGGTGAGGATCCTGTGATGGGAGCCTTAGATGGACAAGAACCAGATGCGAACCATATAGGCTGGTCTTTAGCTGGCATTAAAGAATGGGGTTGGACCAAATTTGCAACAGACTAGCAAGGGGCAATCGGAACCCCTGTAACCGACCACGAACATGTTGCCTTCATTCTCTTCTGGCTCTGCAGGTATATCATAGTCTCCCCTTCTAAAAGTGTCCTTTCTTCTCATCTCGACCTGGCTATTCATATAGCATCAGGGCGCTTCTTTTCTCTTGGCACTCTCTTCCTAGCCAATCTTTTTGAAGGTCTGTCTAGGGTTAGCATCCGCCTTGCAGATAAAGATAGCAAGAAATTAGATACCGCCGCATCGGGACCCTTTTGGTTTCTGGAACTTTGGTTCCGACTCTATTTTCCCGATGCGTACCAACTTGGCCACCCTACTGTTGCCCCAACATCCGACAAGTTGTTGGGAATAGCCCTTAACCGACTTTGTCTAGGTCGTAATAAACTCCAATCATCCGACCCCATCATTGTTGCTATCTTGACCGACGTCCGTAGCAATTCTCGCTTTTACGTATATAGAAAATACGCGGGGCTACGCGTCTGGTCTTTTTTGGCCTTTCCCTATATCTTCACCCATGGCCGAACCTGACCCTCTTCCTCATCCAACTTACTCTTTTTCCTGGGATTCGGCCCTTAAACCTAGGTCTTTATTTGTAAATAATAAACTTGATAAAAAGGGCCATAAATTGTTTTATACTTTCAGCTATCGACCTCAATTTTTGGCATGCCAATTCGGCTGCCGTCAAGGTTTACTTGGCACCCTCGCCCATCCACACCTGATACCTCAAAGCCCGGATGGGCGAGTCATCCCTGAGTTGATTTCTCCTTATATTTCCCAACTCACTAATTATATAACTTCTCCCAACTCTGTGGAATCCTTCCTTGAATGGTGGTCGGTTGCGTAGGCCCTAATTGCTCCTGACAAAGAACGATTGCTGAGCATTCTCTTGCCCCAACCTGCTTTGGTGCTAGGGACGGCACCATTGACTAACACCCGAAGAAAAGTAACCGCCCCAGTCACCGTGTTGAGCCCCCCAAAAAGAAAAAGAAAAGTTTCTCAAATTCAGACATCCTCGACCCCTGAAAAAGACCATGAGACTTCGAAAGACCTTCCATCAGGTCGAGTGCCAGTAAAGACCCGACCCCGTTTAGGTACTTTCCAAAGCCCCGTCTTAATCTAATTTTTTCCTTAGTTTTTAACTTATTGTTCTTGCTACCTCAGCCATGGCGACCGTTCCACTTAACTCAACACCAGCCGAACCTACGCTTGCCTCTCTGATGGTCGGTCGGAGGATGAACCTGACTAGGAGGTGGTCCCCTCCTTGCCTGGCGACGAGTGGTCGGGAACAGGCTCCAACCAAAAAACAATCCTCTCGAGTACCGGCTTTAGCTAAGGTTGTCTCTGATAGTGAGGCGACTGCTTCTCAAATGGGCAGGATGCCATATGTAGCTTCAGACTCATCTTCCCCGAACGAAGAACCGATCGCAACACCTGCGTTCGCCTCTGCCTCGGTCGCCTCAGTTGTAGGTACCTCTGCTGAAGTTGCTTCTGATGCAGGTACCTCTGCTGGAGTTGCTTTTGATGCAGTCGCTCCAACTGATAGGGATGTCTCAAATGCAGCCGCCCAAATCGCATCCGACGAATCCGCTGCGGCCGTTTCAGTTGCAGCCGACAAACATCATACTTTGATCGCCGTGAGATGGGACTTTTGGAAGTCTGAGGCTCAATGCAATAGTGTAATCATTACACCGTTTTGAGTCCAATCACAAGGTTTTACAAAAACTCTATCCCTCAACATACCATATTGCTTATGGTTGGTTCTTTTTAATCGGGACCATTTTTTATGCCAATAAACTAGCTACAGCCCCCTCGGGCCCCTTTTCATTTCTCGAGCCTTGGCTCTACCTATATTTCCCAACCGCTTTCTATGGCCGCCTGCCCAAAAACCAGGATCCTAATGTTCGCTTGGCCTGACCCTTGCTGGCATATCCCAAAAATGATCCAACCTCAAACCTTCCGACTCCATCATTCAAAAACTAATTTCTGATGGCCGAAGCAACTCCCGTTTTTACATTTATGAAAGCCTTGTACAGTATGCCACCAAATTTTCCTGGCCTTATCCAGATTCCACTTATCCTCTATCTTACCCTGATCCTTTACCCCATACAACTTACCCTTTCTCTTGGGACTCGGCCCTAAAACCTCGATCTTTGTTTCCAAGCAAAAGAATGGAGAAGAAAGGGAACAAATCTTTCTACACTTATAATTACCAACCTCAATTCCTGGCATGCCAATTCGGTTGCCGTCAGGGTATCCCTGGTCCCCTTTTTCTACACTTATATTACCTCAAATTTCTACATTTTCGTTCAAAACCAAACTCCAAAATGTCGAACCTTACCGTGAATGGTGGTCAATTTCATGGGCCCTGTTGGTCCCTTCGTCCGACCAAATGCTTCTGATTCTTCTATCGGCACCGCATTAGCCCTGGGCAAGCTCCCCCGGCCGCCTCGTCGCAAACGACAGACAGCTACCCCTAAGGCTAGCCCCAGTATGCCAAAGAAGAAGGCAAAGAAGGCGATAGCCCAACGGAAGCTGATGCCATCTCCACCAATAGACCGCTAGGCAATAGAAAATTACCTGGTCTATTTGCCTGTTGACACACATTGGATGCCGCCCCACATCCGAAGTGGCTTAAGTAAGTCTAAATTTTAAATTATAATTGTATGTTAGGTTTTTTATTTTTATAACATAAAATATCTGCACAGTCGGCCCACTCTTGCCTCCTCAACCGTCTTAATAAACGGCTGCACCAATTCAACCAACCGACCCTGAACCAATGGTAACAACTTTACTTTGCTCCTTTGTGAAGTTTTCAATAATCTAGATATCCTGTTCCCACAATTCTCTTTTGTAGGTACCGACAACAAAACTACCTCATGTTCTTTCCCAAGAAGAATCACCAATGATCGGTTGGTCAAAAGAACCAACCAGAAGGCAAACTCCTCCTCCACTAGCGAATCCTGAAATCCTGAACGTCTCTCCGTTGAACTAAGTAAATATTGTCTTGATCCTTGATTTCAATACTCCAAATCGTATATGATCAATCTATTGGCCATGTCTGATAGGCCCAGAATGTCTCAGATGCTGTGGCCGCACAACCGTCCACTGCCACCGACCCACCTCGTGCAACTGACCCTCCCTTGGTTGGCCCTTCCGAGGTCGGTCCTTCGGCTGCCGACCAAGCTGAGGTCGGTCTTCAAGCGTCCTACCTTCCTGCAGTTGGTCCTCCTGTGGTCTACCGCCCTAGTATTTCAATCGAAGAAGTATCTTCTTCCGAATTAGGATAAGCTTCCATCAATCACAACTTGGCAGAAATGATGAGTTAACATGTACCTTTGAATTCCCAATTTTCACAAGTCCCATGGTCCTTAACCAACCATGCACACAGGGCTTTGAACCAATTTTTGCTGACCCAAGTCGGCTCCCTACTAGCCTCGTCAAAGCTGCAAAATAAAGTATCAGTTCCTACACCACAAAAAACACATTAGTTACCACAAATGGACCTATCCAATGATAACGAAGTTTATCCAGAAAAATCTTAAGATGAGAATGATGAAGCAAAACTTTTTGACCAACCTTAAAATCTTTTCTCAAAATATTTGGATCATGAAATTTTTTACTATTTCCGTTAATAATTCTCGCATTCTCGAAAGCTTTGTTCTGAATCTCCTTCAACTCTTGCAACTGCAATTTCCTTCTTTCTCAAACTTCAAAGACTTCCTGCACATTTTGATCAAGGACATCTACACAATACAAAGCATGAGGTTCCACGGGATCATTCGATTCATCAAAAATATTGATATGAACTTTTACGCCTTCGAATTCCATGGTAAGTGTACCTGTCCTAACATCAATTTTTGTGTGTACAGTACACATAAAAGGGCGTCCAAGCAGAATAGGTGAAGGATTAGGCGAATTTTCATCATGCATATCTAAAACATAGAAATCAACAGGGAATATTAACTCATTCACTTGCACAAGAACATCCTCAATTATCCCTTCGGGGTAAGCGTAAGTTCTATCAGCTAGTTGAATCACTATCCCTGTTTCTTTCAAGGGCCTAATGTTCAAAGAGTTAAAAATAGACTTAGGCATAACATTAATGGCTGCACCTAAATCTAACATAGCTCTTTTAATTTCTATCTTACCTATTTTGCACTGGACGACAAACATACCTGGATCTCCGCATTTTTGTGGCAATTTTTTTGCAGCACGGCGGACACAGTCTCTCCCGCTAGCACCTTCTCGTCTCCTCTCAACTTCTTCTTCTTGGTACACAACTCCTTCAGAAATTTTGCATAACGGGGGACTTGCTTAATTGCGTCAAGCAAAGGAATGCTTAGCTCCACTTTCTTAAACATCTCCATGATCTCCTTGTCTTTATTTTTAGCCGGTTTTGCTAACCTGTGAGGAAATGGAGCAACATTAACATTTGATTGAATAAGAGGTTTAGAATTCACCTGATTAGTTGACTTGTTCGCTTCTTGCTCAATCTCCTTTTCAATCTGCTCTCCAGCTTTCTCTTTTTCAGTAATCACCTTCGAACCCTTCAGCTCCTTACCACTTCGCAAGACCATTGAACTAACATTGCTCGGGTTCATGTGGGTTTGAGCCGGTAGCTTGCCTTTCTCCCTCTCTTTCATATCCCGCACCTCCTTCACAACTTGAGACATTTGATCTTCCAAATTTTTAATACTCGTTCTTGTCTCTTGCTGAAATTGCAAAAAATTAGACGCAATTGATTTCACCATATCATATAAAGAGTTACCAGGCATGGAGGCTTGGGGCATGGTCCTTTGTGGTTGCTGTTGTCCATATGACTGGAAACCTGGCGGTTGTTGCTGACCATAGGATTGTTGATTCCCATAACTAAAGTTGGGGTGATCTCGCCATCCCGGGTTGAATGTGTTCGAATAAGGGTCATAAGCGTTTCTCGGTGCAAAATCTGCAGCACGCACTTCCACCTCTTCTCTTAGTGTGGGACAAGCATCCGTGGGATGCTCAACACTCCCACAAATTCCACACGGCTTCACTTGAGCATTACCTATAGCAAGTTTCCTCACAAAAGCAGTTAGCTGATTCAATTGTTGTTGCGTAGGAGAACTTACCTCAACAGCTTCTTTCATTCCCACGACATCCCTCGGCCCAAATTGTTGAGAGTTCATGGCCATATCATTCAACAATTCCCAAGCTTCTCTCGGAGTCTTATTCATTAAAGCGCCTCCACTGGCAGCATCGATGATCCTCCTGTCAATAGAAGTTAGTCCTTCATAGAAATATTGAATTAAAAGTTGCTCAGAAATTTGATGTTGGGGACATCGAGCAATTAATTTATTGAATCTATCCCAATACTCGTATAAGGACTCCCCTGATGCTTGTTTGATGCCACAAATCTCTTTTCGCAAATTCGCAGCCCGGGATGCGGGAAAGAACTTCTCAAGAAATTTGCGCTTCATACCCTTCTATGTGATAACACTCCCAGCCGGCAAGTTAAACAACCAATCTTTAGCTGCATCCTTCAAAGAGAATGGAAAACCCCGGAGCTTTATTTGATCCTCAGTGACTCCCGGAGGTTTCATACTCGTACATACCACATCGAATTCCTGCAAGTGCTTGTGTGGTTCCTCCCCTGCCAAGCCATGAAAAGACGGCAATAAATGAATTAGTCCAGATTTAAGTTCAAATGCCGTATTATCGGCTATAGCAGGAAAAGTAATACACAAAGGGTGCTGAATTAAGTCGGGAGCAGCTAGCTCCCTCAAGGTTCTTTGTGCCATTGGATTTATCAAAACTTCTTCAACTTCCTTGTGCTCTTCACCCTCGTCAGAACTAGTGGTATCCGCTAGTTGGATAGCTAAGTTAAGTCCCGGTGACTCAACTTCTTTCTCGGCCCTCTTTCGCTATTTAGCTTCTTTCCGCAAATGACGTGCAGTTCTTTCACTCTGAATCAAAGATTAATTGACCTGTATGACTAGTTCGAGGCATAAACTATTAAGCAAAAATTAGAGCTAAATAAATAAAAGAAACAACCAAATATCAAAAATCAAATTACTATTCCCCGACAACGGCGCCAAAATTTCTAGCCTCGTCAAAGCTGCAAAATAAAGTATCAGTTCCTACACCACAAAAAAACTTGCAAAATGCGTAGTTCGGTGAGTAGGGTCGTCTCCGCAGGGAAAAATAATAATATTGAATATTCGGTTATCTAAAATTATACTTTATATATAATGGGGGGGTTGAATTTATCACACTAAAATAAGAGAAAATAAATTCGCTCAACTAAATTAAATAAAATAAAATGCACGGCAGATTACCAAAGATGATTAGACTCTAGCATAGGCATGAATTTTTCATTCGGGATATGAAATTTGATCATCGACTAAAGTCAAATTCATCGACTTGTTGGATAAATTGGTTAAAGTTGATCTACACGCGTTCACAACCAACCTTTCCTTACTTTTTTGATAGCTAAGGTACGAACGTTAGCTATTTTTCTAATCGGGAAAGAATCCTAGGTACGACCGTAGTTTTCTAACTCGACAACAGTAAAATCTAGAAATGCCCAATTCAATTTCAAGCTCCTACAAGGATTTGTCTAAAATTGATCTTAATTCTTCCCTAGAGTGTGCTTCTCTAGGTTGCTACGCCAATTGGAAAATTACACAATTACATATGCCAATCCCTAATATAGCGATAAAATCCTAAATTGATACGTGCGCAATAATCAAGTCAAGATTTATAAACTCATCAATTAGAAGAATTAAAAATACCCAACATCGATGAACACCAATTTTAATCGAAACCAAGTCTCACAATTTCAATCCCAAATATCATTTCATACCTACACTAGAAATGAAACTACTCGCAATCCATAGCAATTAAAAATATAAAATAAATCAAAGAGTTCATCATGCCTTCAAGTTTAAAAATCGACAACAAACCAATTCTAGAAATGAAGAAAAAGGGTGCCCGGAAGTTCTTCTGTGTTGCTCTCCAAAGTTCCCGTATGTTGTGTTCTTCCTTCGGTTCTCTTCTCTTTGAGAAATGGGTTGGAGGTGAGATCGTGGTAGAGAACATGGTAGTCCCCATCTCTTCTCCTCTTCAATTGAAAAAATCGTGTCTCTTCAAGTCTATCCCAAGATCCCCTTTGCACTTTAAACCAAACAATTCTAAAATTGGTAATTAACCCCGGAGGATCTTTTTGCAATTTTCATTTTTTTCTGCTTCGTGATCACGTCTAAGGACTTCCTGCGTTCTGATTTTCTCTCCAATATGCCCAAAATTTGCCAACTTCTCAACGCCTAGTAGAAAGTTCAAAAAACACACCATTAGGAGCATATATACAAAATTCGCATCCAAAAACCGTCTAAAATATAGCAAAATATTTGTCTAATATCGCATATATCACTCCCAGGAGGGGAGGAGTCTGGTGTCGGGACTTGGGCACCCTGGGGCCTACCTCAAAGAGTGCCCCAACGAGCTCCTTCAGTTTGGGCCCCTTCTGAAGTGATTGCTGTCCAAGGTCAAGTAAACTCTAAAAAAAAAGAAAAAAAAAAGAAATTCCAAGTATCGATTAAATATCCAACTTCATTCACAATTTTTAATTTGGCAGCATAATCTTGATCTGTCCTTTATCTTTTGAGTACCGATCCTAACACCCGCCCAACCAACAGGGATTCATTGCGCCATGCTGTCTTTTGCCGACTTAAGGCTCAAAGACCTTCAGTCTTTAGCCCAGATTGTAATTAATTTTTTTACTCAACATCCTGCTGACTCAGCGGCCACTCCAGTTTCCCTCGACTAATAGAGCATATTACCGAGCTTCAAGCCGACTTTTCAGTAATCCAAACTCCAACAGCTAGCCCATCTCAACCTCCATCCACGGCCGACTCGAAGATCATTGAGGAAACCTTTTCAAAGACGAATGAGGAACTCAAATTGGCCGACGCGAGGTTGAATAGCCTTTTGCACGCTAAAAAAACCTTGTCCGAGGACATCGACATGAGAAAAAAAAACTGGAGCATCTTCAAAGAGTGCTGGACAATCTACAAAGACAACAAACCGCGCTGGACAGTTGCATCAAAGAAGAAATGCGTCTGATTGCTGACCATCGACAGAGCCAATCGAACCTATACGACGCATTGCAAGCATTCATCTGTTCGAGGCTAATACATTAACATTAGATAGCCTACCAGCAGAGGCGAGCGGCTCGGTCCGAACATAAATGGACCGACCTCCGTACCATCCTTGATGCCTTTTTGTCCCGTATGTAACGTAGACTTAATTTATAACATTTTTTTTATCCAATAAATATGCCTATACTAATGAATTAAAACATAATCCGCACAATTAATCACCAAAAACTCAAACTTAATCTTTAAACCTTTTACCCATAAATAAACCAAACCTGTCCATATATGATTTACCAAACATTCTTTGAACTCTCCGAAAGATGGCCTCCCCCCCGTCCAAGTGTCATCCAACAATTGGGATAATTCTCTACAACCTTTCTTCGTAGGGCAACACCCCGTTGGCGGCCATGCTGAAGATCTGATACAAGTACTTAAACAACTGGATTTCAAATTCAAATTTTCCCAAAGAGTCAGAAGGGAAATACATCATGTAATTTTCCTAATGGAACGTGTCTCCATTGGGTTTGAAACACTAAGCGTTATACTCAGCCGCATTCCCGACCTTGATTATCACATAGACCTCATAGGGCACCATGTCGTGGAGATTCTACCTGATCTTATTTGGAACAACGTATTTGCTCAACAAAGAGCATCATTCACACGATTACGTGTTCTAGTGGATCGACAATGCCAATCTTTGCAAGACATGAAAACCCGCATTGAACAAGATCTGGAAGAAATGCAGGAACAATGAGACCAATATCGACCCGGTCTTGAAGATCTCATAGATGAGGAACTAGAACTGGTGTCCACCAGCTGGGACGAGGCGTCTGAATTAGAGAATGAATAAAATCCTTGCATCACCCTCTCAGACGATGAATAAACCCTTCAAAAGGGTTTGAACCCTTGATGGATTCGCAATAATTTTACTGCATAACTATTCATTGTGACCTGAAAAAGAAGGATAATATATTTTCAGATACTTTGCATTAACGCTACCATGTACCACTTTTCCTTCTTGATCCATAATAATAAATGATCTATTTCCAATTTCCTTATGAATCACGAAAGCTGATCAACCTTCTTGTGTTGGCAAAATAGTTTTCCAAACCAAATCTTATTCTTTAAAAGTCTTGTAAAGAATTCTGGTATCATAATGTCTGGCTTGCACCTCACCTTGTTTGACCATTTGATCAATTGCTTTCAAATAAATAACTCTCAGATCTTCCAACTGTTGCATCATACCTTGCTAACATTCTTCGTCAAAATCCAACATAGTGTTAGCAGTACGAATCAGTGGTACATAAAACTCGGCTGCTAACACCGCGTCTTTGCCAAACATAAGCTGATATGGAAAACATTCTGTGGCTGAAATTTTGCTATTACGATGTGCCCAGAGAGCCTGAGGCAATAACATATGCCATTTTCTTGGATTTTCACCAATCATCTTCTTTATGATACCAATGCCAATCTTATTTGTCGCTTCTGACCATTTGCTTGCGAATAATAAGGAGAAGAATGATGTATCCGAATGTTAAAACCAACCAGAAATTTGACAAACTTCTCCCTAGTAAAAGCCAAACCCTGATCTGTAATAATAGTGTGCGGAATCACAAATCGGTAAATAATTTGATTTACAACAAAGTCAATTACCTCTTTATGTGTTGCATTCTTCAAAGGGATAGCCTCAACCCGCTTGGTGAAATAATCTTCCGCGATAAGAATGAAACAGTGATGCTTCGAAGAAGTTGGATGGATCTTACCAATATAATCCATTGGCCAGGCTTTGAATGGACAAGGTTTGATCGAAGTATGTAAGTCCATAGCCGGCAGATGATTCAACGGCCCATGCCTTTGACAATCTTGACATCTTTTGGCGAATTTAATACAATCTTCAAATATTTTTGGCCAGAAGAATCCCAGGCGATGAATGGCCCATCTTATGTTTAGACTTGCTCGATGGGCCCCGAAAACCCCACTATACACTTTCTTCAAAATTTCGAATGATTTCTCCTGCCCCAAACACTCAACAACAATCCTTCAAAGGTTCTCTTGTACAAAATTCCTCCAATTAATTAGAATTGCAATGCCTTCAACTTAACAGCTACAGGCATGACCGAACTTGGCTCTTTCAAATATGCAATGATTTATGTCCTCCAGTTGATCGAGACTTCTGCCTCCATGCTGATATCACAAATGGCCACGCTTGACATCTTCCTACAAGCCTCTTGGGCTAAATCATCCGCATGACGATTGTCCGTCATCGGGATATATTCAAAAATGACTTCAGAAATCCTTGATAGCAACCGATATACCAAAGTCCTATATCTTCGTAAATAAGGGAAAGTGCAAGTGTAACAACTTGTTACCCGATTGATCACCAATTTCAAATCCCCCTGAATTACCAACGACTGGACTTTCTTTTCAACCAAAGCGTCAAGCTCCAGAATCAAAGCTTCATATCCAGCCGAGTTATGAGTCATTGCTTCCAACTGCAATTGTAATTTTACCTTTTGACCGTCAGATCCTTTCAAAATTACTCCCACTCCCGATCTTTCTCCTGAACTCGATCCATCAAAAAACATATGCCAAGTTCGAGTACCCATATATGACGTAGGCCCCGCACCTCTTTTCCTATCCTTAGT